AATGATACCATTCTTCTGATTACCTACCCGGTAGGATTACCACCTGGTTTCATAGATTTGGATTATGTTGCAGGGGAAGTGAAGCCATGCCGTCTATATGCTCTGTGTGCGGCACAACGGATTTCTATATTGTTGATGGATGTTACTATTGTGGAAATTGCAATTCGCAATCTCAGGTTTGATTTGTTCGTAATATTTCATGATCATTTGTTTACATATCGAACTGATAATTATTTCGAGCACTTCTTGCTAACAAGTGTTCAGTGTTCTACTATCAGCACTAATATTTGACAGTTACTTCCGTTGAATTTTGCAATATTAACAGAGACAAGTATTTATTTATTCAAATAAGGGCAGATAACGTTGTGAGTACTGGAATGTTCAGCTAATCATTGGTGTTCGCTAATATATTTTCTCAGGGACGTTAAATTTTTTTGTGGTAGTAATATGCGATGTTAGTCATCCAAGTGCAACTAAGCAGTTGTTGACACATCAGTGAAATCATCGATGATATCGATCGTAGTTTCCGGAGTTTCGTGAGTTGTTTCGTCGTCGCGATTCCATTTGCTATGCGTGTAGGCAAATGCTATTGACTGATTGTTGTTGAGGTGGAACGCGAGGTGAACATGGAAGAGACGACCATGTTCGATAGTTTGGATGCTGTTGTCGCAACGAGAATGAAAAAAACAAAAGCAAGCGATGAGATCAGAAAAAAAGGATCAAAATCACAATATCAGGTTATTTTTCGTAAATTTTCAATTGAAACCCTTTCATATTCGAACCTTTTGCTTCTGTCTTTTACTTGGATAACGAATTCTTCTCGTCGTGGAATACGTATATAACCAGTAAAACTTTTTGAAAAATGTGTCTGAATCTCCATTCATTATTGGATGTTATTTTTACAGCCGTCTGAAGAGCAGAAGAAAGCATTGGCGGCTGTCGAAGATATTGATTATCCGCGATTTCTGGGCAGAGCTGGTCTTCGTTTGGCAACCTTCACTGAAATTCTTTTTCATTTCACGACTATTTTGATTCGTGACTTCGATGTTGATCGTTCGGTTCGAGTGAGTCTTTATCGTTGTTGCCACAATAGCAATAAATTCTCATGAATCACCTAGATTTTTGGTTATCGTCTATAGAAACTTATTAATCGCTAGACATGACCGGAAATCAGAATCTGGCTTTACAAATGAATTCGTAGCTGTCATAAAAATATTTCTAAGCATATCAAAATGCCAGTCAAGAGACAATTAACGTTTTGAGAGAGCGTTCGTAAATTAAAGCACTAATAAGTTTCACATTATTAATTATTAATAAGTATTAAAACTAATGGCTATTAGTAAGTTGAACTATAAAGATGTTTTGATGATTCGTATGAAAGAAATGATTGTATTCATTCAGAATCATGCGCTCAATATCTTTCAACGTTATCTTTCACATATGAAAGTGGCATTCTGTGATGAGGAGGTTGACGAAAGTAATCCGTATTGTCCACATGTAAGCAATGAACTTTTGTGAGTTATCGTCAGTTTACTTCATTCATTACCACTGAAAAACTCGCTCGTTAACAAGTTGAATCTTTGTATTTACTGCATAAATTCAATTTGATCGTTCCGATATTCATCGTTTCGATTGTTGCTCAACAAATTCATCTTGTTTTTTTTCTACAGCTATTCATTTTGATGTACCCAGAAGTTTCACGATATAACAATTGTACTGATTATAATAAATTTGATGGTAGTAATGTCGTAAATAATCGTAATAATAAGAGTGAATATAGTAATGGAATCGATAATGTGAAAGATATTTTTGAAGATAGTTTTCTTTGGAGTCTTTTAAGCTGATGAAGACAATAAATAATAAACCTGTAAACCAGATTTATATTTCTGCAGTGAGCAGCAGTTGAAAGCAAAACAGAAGGATCTGAATGTGCAAAAAGAAGGTCATCTGCAGATGGGAGAGAACATTGTTTCGTTTATAGCGAGCAAAGAACTTGATGAGAATTTGACAGCTCATACCAGTCGAGAGGAGGTGAGAGCATTTACTAATTTAAGTTAAATATGATTCTCTTTTAACCGCCAAACCGGAAGGAATTCTGAGGAGCCTTTTTCATTTCATTCCGCTTGATCTTATTAATAGGTCGTTGCTGTAAGTGACCGAAAAAAGGACGTTGTGGCGTTTACCATTATGAATATGAACGACCATTACGTCACCTATATTTTCTGTGTCAGTATTCTGATAATGACGTCGTAGTGTTGGAACATCGTTTGATTAATGAAATAATTTAATATGTACATATTGATGAAACGTTATAGTACCGTATTGTATTTTCATTCAGTACCTGAAATGAAGAAGTTCGGTTTCGCATGTTGTATTGATGCAGTTGCCATCTTCGTATTATTTATTTTGCGTAGATATGTTTGACGAGCTGATCTGGACGTTTCAATTGCAATTAGCTGCTTTTTAAATTTAGGCGATTCAACATGGCGATATTCATTTGATTGAACAGGTCAAAACCAAAATATCAGCCGAAGCATATCATCGGGTATGTAAACTTTTGTTTTCTTCTTCATTTT